GCATGACATATGATTCCCTGAGTACTGCACATGTGTAAACCTTCCACCCCTAAACAAACCACAAGATATTCATTCTGATTCTTTTTGATTTTGCTAAATCTACTTTACTGTTAAAGGTAAAGGCCCTCCCGTTGATCGTCGATTTGCTCGAGCGGGCCCAGTAACGTCTCCATTGGAGACTTTGTTGTTACTGTGTCTGGCATATCGAATACTCTCGGTAGCTTGCCGGGCTCTCCGAGAGGGGCGGAGGAATCGCCCTTTGTTGGAGATTCAGAAAGAATCTTATCTCAGGTTTGTTTACTTTCCTCTGAGTTTTCACGTCAAATTTCACATCAGGCCTCATTTTAAAAATAGTACTGGGGGGCTGGAGTAATAGCACAGCAGGTAGGGTGCTTGCTTTGCACTCAGCCAACCCGGGTTTGATTCCCAGCATCCCATATGGTCCCCTGAGCACTGCCAGGTGTAATTTCTGAGTGAATGACTAACCCCTGTGCATCATCGGGTGTGACTCAAAAAACAAAATTAATTAATTAAAATTGTACTGGATAGGCTCGAAAAAGAGTTCAGGGGTTAAGGACTTGCCTTATACGTGGCTCATCCCAGTTTGATTCCCAGCACTAAGAATGTTCCTCCTGCACTGCCAGGAGGGACAGAGCCAGGTGTAAACCCTGATTACCACCAGGTATAACCCCCAAACTAGGAAAAAAAAATAAAAGCCAAGCCATATATAGACAGACACACTCATACACATGAATCACACACACACACACAATACACACACACACACACACGAGCTATCATTATTTTTTATTATTATTTTTTAAACCTGGCATTTTAACTTAAAAATATTGTAACATTGGGCCAGCAAGAGAACTCTGCATGCTGAGCATGTGTCTTGCATGTGGGAGGCATAGGTTCACTCCTTAGCATCATGTGAGCACTACTAAGATCAATCCCTGATCCCTGTACCACTGGATGTGACCCTCCCATCTCCCCACCAGTTTTTTTAACATTAAATAGTCTGTGAAAATATTTTAGACCTTACATAATATTCCATTGTTCCTTGTTTTTATTCATTTCCCAATTCTTACCAATCTTCTTGCGTTTTGAGAATTACAAGCAGTAATGCAGAAAACATACATTAACATGAATAATGCATACTATATGGCTTTTTACTATTTTCATTTCCCTCTCATTCTCCCCCAAAAAAGGTATTTCAACAAGCCAGAGCAAATACTCCAGCAATTGTGTTTTTGGATGAAATTGATTCAATCTTGGGATCTCGGTCAGTCAACAAAGCAGATTGTGGTGTTAAAGAGCGTGTTCTTTCTGTTCTCCTGAATGAATTAGATGGTATTGGATTAAAGACTACTGAGAGAAGAGGAAATAGATCAGATCAACTAGGTTAGTACAAGGATCTGGTGAAAAATGAAGAGGTATTTATTGTCCAAAATACACCCAAAACCTAGGTCAACATGCCATACTAGCTTTACCTATGCTAGGTTCATCCCATAAAAGGAATGATGCTGTTTATTTCTTTATATAACTGATAAATCTGAATTAACTAAAAAAGGGGAAGTAGAATTTTATAACAGTTGCCTTAAATATATTTGAATAAATTTTGTTTTCTCTAAGATTTAGAAGTAGGGCTGGAGCGATAGCACAGCAGGTAGGGCGTTCGCCTTACAAGCGGCCAACATGGCCGACCCGAGTTCGATTCCTCCGCCCCTCTCGGAGAGCCCGGCAAGCTACCGAGAGTATTCGATATGCCAGACACAGTAACAACAAAGTCTCCAATGGAGACGTTACTGGGCCCGCTCGAGCAAATCGACGATCAACGGGAGGGCCTTTACCTTACCTTTACCTTACTTTACTGTTAACTTGATGATTTTAAGTAAATTACAATCTGGTTTCATGGTGCTTCATAAACTTCAGGTAATTATTTTATATAGTTTTCAAGTAAATAACACAGTAGGACACCAAAAAAGGATTATGTACTTTACAATGTATAATTTAATTATTTTTTGGCTTGGGCCACTCCCAACAGTCTCATGGGGCTAAGCATTTGCTGCTGTCCTTTATGCTCTCTCCTGGCCCCCATGTATGGTTTAACCTCTCAATAAAATATTATTATTTCTTCAAAAATGGGAAATAAAAATGTGTGTATTATTAAAATTGATTTACTTTTGTTGTAATTATTCTATTAATTCTATTTTTGAGAAATTCTACTTGTTAAAATATAGTGATAGAGTTTACTCAACAGTTATGAATATAAGTATGGGGACCAATGCAATATGATGAATTTTGCAGTGGGTGGGAATGGAATTTTGCAGTGGGGCTGAATTCTGCACAGGCAAGTAAGAATTTGTAGCATACAGGGGTATGATGCTGCCAACAGGTCAACCTGTACCGGCGGGGTGAGTGCATCAGCTGCCTGATGGCACCTTCAGACTTCCAGATACCCCAAAATTGCCGCTGTACCTTTGGCCAGACCCCAACAACTTGGGACCAAGTTTACCAAGAATTTAACTGGCCAAAAGTTAGGTATGTGGGAGCCATGTCCACAAAACACCTTCGGCTCAACTATATAAGCTCATTTATTGGCCTTATCTCAGAGACCCATAGTTAAATCTCGAAAGAGACCAAAAGTTACAGTTAATCTCAGACCCGCACATGGCTGAACAGACTGGGGTAAACTGGAGGGGGGAAGGTTGGCCTGTGCCTGCCCAAGAAGAGTCCCCAGCAGCCGTCTGCTTCCATAATCTAAAACTGCCGCCATATCCCTGGCCTGACTCTACCGTCTCAGGACAGACCTCACCAAAATATAATTTGCTGAAAATTTGGGTATGAAAATTGCAGGTTTTGTGACTGAAATCTCAAGTCTTTCACGGAGTTGGGGTGGGCTACCTCCCCCCACTTCCGAATACACATGGGAGCACTAGCAGTCACCCCCATGAACCAACTCCAGGGCCACTCTGCAAACTCTATTACTGGTCTTGCTTCAGAGACCCATAAATAAATCTTGAAAGAGATCAAAAGCAAGAGACACAGCAGTGAGTCCTGGAACACACCACCAAGCCAGAGATCTCACTGGGTCCCATACCAAGCCAATATCATCAGGGCACCCCAGAAGTAGCATGTGCAGTCTCCCCGCCTACTCCAGATGGAATCCCGGCGACCAAGAGCTTCCACAAGCAAGGTCCTGGTATGCTGGTTCCAGGATTAAATCTCTGGACTAAATCTCCATGCTGCATGGTGGCAGAGGCACTGGTCTGCCCCTCCCTGGCTCCCTGCCTGCTCATCGGCCTGCCTGTTAGCCCACAATGTGCCTCCAGGCGCCATCTTGGCACACCAACACATTAGGGCATTTGGTCCAGAAATGCCCTAATGAATCCCAAAATGGATTAGTGCCATACAGAAATGTTTCCGGAACCCAACCATTTACAATCTAGGATTCCAGAAGTGTGTGGCTGTGGCACCCAAGATACTCAAAATGAACAGTGGAAAATAAATGATCGAGCATCGGCCCCTGGCAGGTAGGCTGGAATGGTGGTGGGAAAATTCGAGCAAAACATGAATGCCCAAAAGTGGAGAGAGTATTGGGGAAATTGGGGAAGGCAGAGTGTGGCCTGGGATGGGGGGGGCATATATTCTGGGGAGATGGTGGTGGAAAGTGTGCACTGGTGGAGGGATGGGTGTTCGATCATTGTATGGCTGAAGCTTGAACATGAAAGCTTTGTAACTGTATCTCACAATGATTAATTTTTTTAAAAAAAGTAATGTGGAGTTTATGCCGAATTCAGACAGCTTAATCAATGGCAGTACTCCTACATTTAAAAAAAATAAAATGATCTGTAGTCATGGAGCAAGAACTAGAGAGGTGAAGGGTGTCAATGGAAAAATTACTAAATTATTAAGAGGATACATTTATGGGTAAAGAAGATTGTTTTGGGGCCAGAGTGAAGTACGGAGGGTAGGGTGTTTGCCTTGCACACAACCAACCCAGGTTCCATTCCTGACATCCCATATGGTCCCTGAGCACCACCAGGAGTAATTTCTGAGTGCAGATCCAGGAATAACCACTGAGCATTGCTGGTGTGACCCAAGAAGCCAAAAATTAAAAAATGAAAATTGGTTTGCCAGCCTACTAGGATTCTTTCTAAAGAGTCTATAGTCATGTAACCTGGGGGATATCACATTGGATCTGTTTCTGTTACATGGTTTAAGAAGATTCTTGCCAAAACTAGATTTTATAAGGAACTACTAGATTGACTTCAGATAAAGTTCTGGAGGCTGATGAAAAAGAAAAGGATCTTTGTTAGTATTTGCAGAATTATGTTGATACAACAGTCCCAGTGAAAGTCAGTCATAGATATTTAAGTAATATTTAAAGTTTGGGCTATTGCACCTGTGACTGAAGTACCTGAAATGAAAACATGTTAATGCTCATTAACAAATTAAACCCATAGAGTTGTGGCTGGTTCAGTCAACACAAGGCAAATCATTTTTCTGGTAACACTTTTAAGACAAAGAAGGAACAATATACCAAAGAGGGCTGTGACCACTTGCTCACCTCATGGGTCCTTTTGAATCCCTCTCTCATACACTTAGTAATACTTTATTGTCTTCACCTTGTGGAAAATTTTTCCAGTACATTTTTTTATTTTTAGGGACTGAAATTATACATCATTTATTCTCTCTGTCCCTAGTTCAAATAAACTGGTACATGTTTTTGATACTCTTTAAAGGAGCTGAATACACAGAACAAAAATAGGAATCAACATTTAGAAATTAATTATTGCGATTTAATTTTATACACGTGTAACACTTTAGTTCATTGAGTTCAAAGTGCCCTGGAAGAAATGTTTCTGAATGTTTGCCTACTATCATTTGTTTTGTTCACACAAGCTATCCAGAAGAATAATTTCAGTTAAAGCTTATAGATCATTACAGTTTTAATGGAAAATTTCATAAACTTAAGATAACTCCCAATTACTTACCCAAGCGATGAAATCCAAAGGTGAATCTTTTGGTTGGCGATTTTGAAGACAGCCATAAAGCAAGCAGGGTCAGTATGATGGCACTTAGGTCAGTTAACATGTGAAGTGCATCTGTCATGATTGCGAGGCTGTTTGCAATGTATCCACCTTAAAATAAGGATAAGAGGCACGAGGTTATTTAAAATAACTTAAGCAATTAAAACTAAAGTATGAAATATCCTATAAAAACATGAACATATAACTGTTTATTATAATTAAGGTAGTCTATTAATTAAGGGCTGGAGTGACAGCACAGTGGGTAGGGCATTTGCCTTGAACACGGCCGACCACCGGGCCGACCTGAATTCGATTCCTCCGCCCCTCTCGGGGTGCAGGGCAAGCTACCGAGAGTATCTCACCCGCACAACAAAGCCTGGCAAGCCACCCATGACATATTCGATATGCCAAACACAGTAACAAGTCTCACAATGTTACTGGGCCAGCTCGAGCAAATCGATAAACAATGGGGGGACAGTGACAGTGATTAATTAAGGTGTTCTATTACAATTCAAGGTATCATAAAATGTTATACTGTAGCACTGTCCTCCAATTATTCATTGATTTGCTCGAGCAGGCACCAGTAATGTCTCACAACAAATTGTGAGACTTGTTGTTACTGTTTTTGGCATATCAAATATGTGATGGGGAGCTTGCCAGGCTTTGCTGTGCGGGCGAGATACTCTCAGTAGCTTGCCAGGCTCTCTGAGAGGGGCGGAGGAATTGAACCTGGGTTGGCCACTACAAGGTAAATACTCTACCCACTGTGCTATCGCTTTGGCCCAAAATCTTATACAAAACATTAAATATATTTTTTCTGGTGAGATAATGCATTTCTATGAAAAGGTTCTCTGAGGAGTCAATCAATAACCTTAGAAAGTTAAAAACCAGTAAATTGGGGACTAGCATATACTGAAAAGTTTTTAATTCAACTTACCAATTCATTAATGTATTAGTAACTAAAATATTTAAATATTACAATAAAGTTTAAGAAAAGATAGGCTGTATTCACTTTTTGGGGTGGGCTTAAACAAAAAAATCATAAAATTTACATTAGATCAAAAGATAAAAATTAACCAATTTTTAGCATATAGAGAGCAGTTTCTCCTAATGAGCAAAATGTAGTATCTATAGTATATATAATTATATAAAATTGTATTTATAAGAATATAATTTTATATTTTATTTTATTAGTACATAAATTACATTAATATACATTTTATAAATGTTTTTGCATATGTGCATATATTTTTATGGGCAACAGATTTTTCCCAACACCATTCACTGAATTTAAGTACATACTCAGGTTTTATTCAAACTTTCACATGTTTCAAAGTCCTTGGAGTGTTAATAAAAGTACAAAATACTTGATTCCACTTCTAGAATTTTGGATACAGGAGGTATGAATGGGACTCACGAACTGCATTCTAAAATGTATCCAAATAACACTGAAGCTTCTAGTCTGTAACCACACTTCAAGAATCATTGTTAAGGATACTGTGACATGTAACTGAAATTATCTGTGGACCCCCCCCAACTCCTGGCATAGGTATGAAGTCACAATCACCAGGAGAAATAGGGTTGGTGATCTCATAATTAGATCCATTCGCTCCAGTGTTTATTTTTCAAAATATCATGTTTTTAAATGTTTCCGTGAAAGCGCTGTGAAAAGAGACAGCTTGGAGGTTAATAATACGGGGTTTTGGAATCTCATAAACTTAGATTATGTTATTCAAAGTTTTTAAGTCTCAGTGTACTCAATCAATAAAGGCACCTAAGAGCTGCACTACAAAATAGAACTTTCTGAAATGATGGGAAATATTTCTGAGCAGAGAGGCAGTAACTTGCCTTGCACACAACTGACCTGGATTCAATGCCTGATCCACTATGAACACTCTCAGGAGTGATTTCTGAGCACAGAGCCAGGAGTAAGCCCTAGTACTGTCAGATGTGACCCCAAAACAGAAACAACAACAAAAAAATATTTTATCTGCACTGCCAGTAATGACTGCCACCACATACATGTGGCTTCTGAATGTTTGAAATATGGCAAGTGCACTAAGGAAATGAATAACCCATTAACTGTAATTAACCTACACTTGAAAGAATGTTATGTTGGCACCATGAGCAAAAATAAAGAACGAACCTCTGAACGTCATCTCAATGAGAGCAAAAATTGTTCACATCAGCCTTTTCAGAACTCTGAAAATTATTCAGATTGATATGGCTAGCATTTATTCAAAAATAGCTTGAATAAGTTTTGGCAAGAATGGGATCCTCTATAGTAACAGTATTCAACCTTTCCCTGTTTTCTTTTTTCAGTCATTTCTTTATTCTTCACTTCTCACTTTCGTCTGTTGCCTCTGTCTGATGGTGCAGCTCCTGCTGGGAGCTATAGTCTACACCTATAGACCCCTTGAAATATCCTGGGGGCCATACTGGTTGAGAAACTCTGCTCTGTAGCATTTTTAACTTGCTCTTATACATGGCTCTCTGGTAATTGCTCTGTAGTAACTCTGAAAACCAACTAGCAGCAACTACAGTGAGTATCATTTGGCAGAATGGGGCTGGAGTTTCTTCAAAGCTTCATTCTTGCAGAACTGTCATTTGACCTACCTTGTGGCTCCTAGGATACTAGCTAGGAAATTTTTATGACTTGAATCAAAATAGTTTAACTTGATTTGCTGCTCTGTCAGGTATAGCCTATTTCTCAAGTAGTGAATGTCAAAAACAATTACAGGAGAGCCAGAGTGATAGCATAATGGGTAGGGCACTTGGCTTGCACATGGCTGACCCACATTTGATCTTCAGCACCCCATTAAGGTCCCCAGAGCCAGACAGGAGTCATCCCGAAGGGCAGAATCACGAATATGCCCTGAGCACTGCTGGGTGTGGCCCCAAACAATGATAGGATTAACTATTTAACAAGGCAGTTTCCATAGGCAATAGGTAACATTTTGCTTCTGATATCCTGAAATTTTTACCATGATGCATCTGGGTGTGGGTTTATTGCCACCAATTTGCTGGGCTTCTGTTGACTCAATCTAGAAATGCACACCTGTCGGGCTCTGCAGAAATTTCTTAAAATGTTTCTCTTCTCCCTTCCTGCTGTCTTTTGTTTATCAAATCCCTAGTAATAGGAATTTGATTTTTTAAAAATTTTTCTTTTTTTATTAGTGAAACACCATGAGGTACAGTTGTAGATTTACAATTTTTTGTGCTTGGGTTTGATTATACAATGATCAGATACCCATCCCTCCACCAGTGCCCATTTTCCACCACCATGGATAATATCCCCCCTACCCCCATCCCCCCCTTGCCTCTATGGCAGGGCAATCCCCTGTGTTCTCTCTCTCCTTTTGGGAGTTATGGTCTGCAAAAGAGGCATTGAGTGGCAAACATGTTCAGTCCATAGTCCACTTTCGACATGCATCTCCCCTCCTGGGAGGATCCTCCAAACACCCTTTATTTGGTGTTCCCTTCTCTATCTGAGCTGCCCTTTCCTCTAGAATGCCCGACTGGTCACTAAGCTATGGAGTAATCCTCCTGGTGCTGATCTCAGCTATTCTTGGGTATTAATCTCATATTTTGTTACTTTATATCCCCCAGATGAATGCAATCTTTCTATGTCTATCCCTCTCTTTCTGACTCATTTCGCTTAGCATGATACTTTCCATGTTGTACCACTTGTATGTAAATTTCATGACTTCATCTTTTCTAAGAGCTACATAGTACTCCATTGTGTAGATGTACCAAAGTTTCTTTAACCAGTCATCTGTTCTTGGGCATTCAGGTTTCTTCCAGTTTCTGGCTATTGTAAAGAGTGCTGCAATGAACAAACAAGTGCAGATGTCACTTCGACTATACATTTTTGCCTCTCTGGGATATATTCCCAGGAGTGGTATTGCTGGGTCAAATGGGAGCTCAATTTCTAATTTTTTGAGAATCGTCCATACTGTTTTCCAGAAGGGCTGAACCAGTCGGCATTCCCACCAACAGTGAAGGAGTGTCCCTTTCTCACCACATCTGCACCAGCATCGGTTGCTTTTGTTCTTTTGAATGTGGGCCAGTCTCTGAGGTGTGAGATGGTATCTCATTGTGGTTTTGATCTGCATCTCCCTGATGATTAATGATGTAGAGCATTTTCTCATGTGCTTTTTTGCCATTCAGATTTCTTCTTTGAGAAAGTTTCTGTTCATTTAATTGCCCCATTTTTGGATGGGGTTGGATGTTTTCTTCTTGTGGAGTTTAACCAGTATTTTGTATATCCTGGATATCAACCCCTTGTCAGATGTGTATTCGGTGAAGATCCTTTCCCATTCTGTAGACTGTCTTTGTATTTTGGTCAGGAATTTGATTTTATATAGTGCTTTTCTTGCCTATTCTCTCTGTCATAGATTGCCTTAATTCATCTTCTAGATTTCCGATGAGTTAAAAATTATTTTTATGCTTTTATTGTTCAAAAGCTCTTTATCTGAATTTAAAAAACCGTTGTTTTTTTTTTTCACGGACACAATTTTACCTAGGTGAATACTAATTACATTATTACATATGACTGGTTCTTAAACAGGTTGTAACTACTTTTACTTATCTTAGTTTTTTACCCACTTTTAATGGTACCTGTTTAAGTCAATTTGGGTCTACTGAGGATTCTCTAAGTAGCTCTCAATTGTGGTTCAAGTATCAACATCTTCTCCTGGGAACTTATTAGAAATATTAATCTTCAAGTCTTAATTCAGACCTATTTAATTAGAAACTATGGCCCAACAATTTGTGTTTTAAGTTTTCTAAGTGATTCTCATGCAACACTTTAAAGTGGGATGGTTCTTGATTTGTCCCACAGCATGCTTGAGAGTTGGTTTTCTGGGATATACCAAGCAAATTATGTTTCCTTTCCTTTCTAATTTCCTAAATTTGTGTTACTATTGTCACCTTTAAGTCCCTCCCCCACTTGTATGGATTTGTATGTAAATACACATACCCACATTGACAAATATATCTTTATCCACATAATTTTATGGTGCTTTTATCTTTTTTAATGCCTTTTATTATAACTGAAGCTGAAGGAAAGAATAAAATTAAATGCATAAATTAATTTGCCATTGCCACTT